TCCCCTTGGAAGCTCAGGGAGGGTGGGCCGGGGGCCGGGGGGGCCCAGCAGTGTTCTCAGGGCTGAGCCAGCTCTACCCCCAGCTCAGCTGTTGCCAGCGGCCCGTGGCCTTGTTGTGTTGACTGCCACCCCCCACCCCCCGGCACAGTCCTGTGCTCTTTGGAGGGCAAGACAGGAAGGGAGGGGGGCCCTAAATTGTTACCTTAAAAGGGCCGATGGCAGCCAAGAGGAGAGGAAGTGGTTGTCGGGGTGAGCTGGGCCCGCGCCCCGCACGGCTCCCCCCACAGGAAGCCCTGCTGAGGCAGCAGGCCCCGGAAGAGGCCATTTCCCAACCTCTGCTCCGGCCTGGGGCCTCTTTCCCTTTGCCAGTTCCCACCCCTGCAGCCCCCCCCCCCAAAAATTGCCACCCCTTCCCCGGCAAGCCCCAGCCCTACTGGGGTTCAGGGCCCCGGCTGGGAGTGTTCATGCAAGCCTCCCACAGGGAAGCTGGGGTGGGGACCCTCAGGGCACAGACAAGACAGGGAGATGGGCAGAGCTGGGCCAGGCTGTCCCGGGCTGTGCCGCGTGTGTCCAGCCTTCCTGGAGTTTGCCCAGGAGCCCCTGGGAAGGGGGCAACGAGCTGGGCCCACTGTGGGGGGGAGAGGGCAGGCACCACAGACCCCTGCTGGGCTTCTCTGAGGGGTGGAGGGGCGGGGCGGGGCTTCCAGGGCAAAGGCACCTGTCCAAGGCCCCGCCCGCCCTGTAGACTGGACGTGTGGACAAGAACGCGCCCACGGTCTGCGGCCACACTGCCCCTGTGCTGGACATCGCCTGGTGCCCACATAATGACAACGTCATCGCCAGCGGCTCTGAGGACTGCACCGTCATGGTGAGCGCCGCTGGGTACGCGCCCGAGGGGGCTGCAGGGTGGGATCCGATATTCGGAGCCCCGAGGACTCACCGGCCCCTTCTCGGCAGGTGTGGGAGATCCCTGATGGGGGCCTGACGCTGCCCCTGCGGGAGCCCGTGGTCACCCTGGAGGGCCACACCAAGCGTGTGGGCATCGTGGCCTGGCACCCCACGGCTCAGAACGTGCTGCTCAGCGCAGGTGCGTGGGGGGGGGCGGGGGAGCGTCCCCGCGTGCCTGAGGGCGGGGCCTCAGGCGTCTGACACTCAGGGATCACGCAGGTTGTGACAACGTGATCCTGGTGTGGGATGTGGGCACGGGGGCGGCCGTGCTGACGCTGGGCTCGGATGTGCACCCGGACACCGTCTACAGCGTCGACTGGAGCCGCGACGGCGCCCTCATCTGCACCTCGTGCCGCGACAAGCGCCTGCGCATCATCGAGCCCCGCAAAGGCACTGTCGTGGTGGTGAGCGGCTGGGAAGGCCGGCCCCCGCCCCCGAGGCCTTTACCCCTCCTTCCCGCCGTGCACCGAGCTCCCGGCTGCAGCCCCAACCTCCTCCCTTGCCCCTAGGAGAAGGACCGGCCCCACGAAGGCACCCGGCCCGTGCACGCCGTGTTCGTGTCTGACGGCAAGATCCTGACCACAGGCTTCAGCCGCATGAGCGAGCGGCAGGTGGCGCTGTGGGACACGGTGCGTGCTGAGCTGGGGAGCAGAGGGGCCCCGGGGCCTGAGGCTGGAAGTTAGGTCCCTGCCCTGCCGCGTGCCGTGGCTGGATGGTCAGGGTCCTCAGGTGGGGGTTTCTGGCAGCTGGGCCGGCGGCGGCGGCTGTGTGTGTGCGTGTGCGTGCGTGTGACCATTCACCCACACCTCCCCATCTGCAGAAGCACCTGGAGGAGCCGCTGTCCCTGCAGGAACTGGACACCAGCAGCGGCGTCCTGCTGCCCTTCTTTGACCCCGACACCAACATCGTCTACCTCTGTGGCAAGGTGGCCCCCTGCCAGGGGCGGGGACAGGGCGGCGGGTAGGAGGAGCTGGTGCTGACCCTGCCCCGCCCCCCCGCAGGGTGACAGCTCTATCCGCTACTTCGAGATCACGTCTGAGGCCCCGTTCCTGCACTACCTCTCCATGTTCAGCTCCAAGGAGTCCCAGCGCGGCATGGGCTACATGCCCAAGCGGGGCCTGGAGGTGAACAAGTGTGAGATCGCCAGGTGACTGCCCCCAGGCCCTGCTGAGCCCCACGGCCCCGCCCGCCCGCCCGCCCAGGCTGTGTGCATGGCTCACCCTCCTGCCTCCACAGGTTCTACAAGCTGCACGAGCGCAAGTGTGAGCCCATTGCCATGACGGTGCCTAGGAAGGTGAGGCTGCACGCCCTCCCTCAGGCTGCCCCCCGCGGGGAGCTGCCGCCTGAGCCCTGTCTTAACCAAGCCTTGATCTCGCCCGCAGTCGGACCTGTTCCAGGAGGACCTGTACCCACCCACGGCGGGGCCCGACCCCGCCCTCACCGCTGAGGAGTGGCTGGCGGGTCGGGATGCCGGGCCCCTCCTCATCTCTCTCAAGGATGGCTACGTGCCCCCAAAGAGCCGGGAGCTGTGTGTCAACCGGGGCCTGAGTGTCTCGCGCAGGAAGGCCACGTCGGAGACCAGCTCTGTGAGCGGCAGATGGGGCTGGGCGGGGCAGGGCCAGAGGCCCAGGGGGAGGACCCCGGGTCGGGGATCATTGGGGGCCACGCACGGGTGAGGGTTCCGGGCATACAGGCCTGCAGCTCCCGGCTGGACAAAAGGGCCCAGCGAGCACCGGCCGGGGGGCGGGAGCCCAGGGAGGCGCCAGGACTGACTACGGTGCTGGGGCCCCCAGGACGTGATATCCCGGCTGGAGGAGGAGCTGAGGAAGCTGCAGACGGTGGTGCAGGAGCTACAGAAGCGCGTGGACAGGCTGGAAGACACAGTCCAGGCCAAGTAGAGCCCACGGGGCCGTCAGCCGGGGCCAGGCGCTCACGCCCCACCCCCACCCCACCCCCGCTGCCCACTCTGCAGTGGATGAGAAAAAAAAATAATAAAATGGCTTTATTTTCTGGTACGGTTCAGATTCCGCTGACGGCCCTGCCGCTGAACTTCCCCTCTGATGAGACCCTTGGCCCCGACGCCTATGTGGGCTGGCGGGTTTGGAGCCATGACAGGCCCCAGCTTGGGGGGGCTCAAAAACCCGAAATCGACTCCCAAATCCGCCTCTTGCAGTGAATGAAACCCTTGTGCATGCCACAGCCACACGGCGGCTTGTGGGGAAGCACACGGGGGCTTGTTGAAGGGCAGGTCCTGGGTGCAGCGGGGTCCCGCCCAGGCCTGGCCTCTGGGACGGGGACTTGGCAGTGGGTTCCGATGCCACAGGCAGAGGCTTTACCTGCTGCACCACAGCACTGGCCTGTGTCTTTTTTTTTTTTTTTTTAAGATTTATTTATTTTGAAGGTAGAAATAGAAGGAGAAAGAGACAGATATCTTCCATCCGCTGGTTCACTCCCCAAATGGCCACAATGGCCAGGGCTAGGCCAGACCGAAGCCAAGAACATCATCCGGGTCTCCCATGTGGGTGGCAGGGGTGCAAGCACTTGGGCCATCTTCCGCTACTTTCCCAGGTGCATCAGCAGGGAGCTGGCTCGGAGGTGGAGCAGCCGGGACTTGAAACGGCGCCCATATGGGATGCCGGCACTGCAGACAGGGGCTTAAGCCGCTGCGCTCCAGCACTGTCCTGCTCTGCACCAGCGACCCCTGAGCCGGGAGGGTGTCTTGGCCATAGCAGGGCTTGGTTCCCGGTGTCCCCTACCACGCAGGGGCCACTAAAAGCCTCATCCCCAGCCCCCTCCTCTTTGGTCATGGAATACTCCCGGGGTGGAAAACGGCACAGCACCAGGCAGCCCCTGCCTGCCCACCCGGGCCTCGCCCTCAGTGCAAGCCCGTGACACTCAAGTGAGTAGCGTCTCTGCAGGACACAGGGGGGCGGGGGCGCCACCACAGCTCTGAAAGCTCGGGGGACCCAGTCAGGGCTCTGGGCCTCTCCTGCACCTTCTGGGGTCCTTGGGAGTAGATCCAGCCCCTGGTTCTCCTGGCCCAGGGGGGCTACAGAAAGCTCAGGAAGTGACCCCTGTGTCACTGAACCCAATGGGTCAGTCACCACCATGGTGCCCACCTTTCCCCACCCCTCCTGTCTCTGATGGCCTTGGAAACACCGGGCACCAGCTTGCAATTCTGCACTTCCACAGAGCCCTGGTCCCAACCAGGCGACCTGCTCTGACCCTCTTGGGTCTTAGGGGCTCTGCAGAGCGCTACCAACCCCAACACCCTGGGGCTAAGGCTGACACAGGGGGCTAGTGCTGTGGTAGAGGGCAAAGCTGCTCCCTGCAGCGCCGGCATCCCGTACGGCTGCTCCACTTCCCATCCAGCTCCCTGCTGATGCACCTGGGAAAGCAGCGGAAGATGGCCCAAGTGCTTGGGCCCCTGCACCCACATGGGAGACCTGGAAGAAACTGCTGGCTCCTGGCTTCAGCCTGGCCCAGCCTTGGCCATTACAGCCATTTGGAGAGTGAACCAGGGAATGGAATCTCTCTCTCTCTCTGTAATCCTGACTTATGAAACTGACACAGAGGCATCACCTGTTCCAGCTGCGACTCAGGTCAGCCTTATTTTCTTGCTCTAATCCTCTCTCTCGCCCCTACCCACACCCCCATTCCTGAACACGCCTGGTGTCTCCAGGGACAGCGGTGGCCACATCAACCCGGGGCTGTTGGGTTCCTGGACTTCTCACGGTGGCCCAGAAAACACCTGCATTCTGGGTGCGGGAGGGGCCCCCGCCTGGGTACCACATCCTGAGGTCCACTGTGTGGGACTCCACCTTGAGCCCCTGGTGCTGGGGTGACGCTGGGCAGAGGGAGAGGTTTGGTTTATCCTGAAGCCCTGAGCACTTTTGCATGTTGCTGGTTGGTAGGGGGCGCTGCGGGGGTCTGGTGGGTAAGGGCAGTATCGATCCCTAGGGGCCTACAGAGAATTGCAGGGAAGGTAAAACCACCCACAGTGGCCAGGCCCTAGACCCTCCCCCACACACCACACGGACACGGAAGCCAGCCCTGATCCATAATTTAATAGCTGTGCAGGTCCTGGTCCCTCATTTCGGCTGCTCCCGGGCCCACTGCTCTGGGGTCAGAGTTTTCTGCTCAAACGCGTGGATGTGCGGGAGCTCTTCCGCTAGGCACTCGTTCACCAGCCTGGGGCGAGAGACGCGGTTAGGAAACGCTGCCTGGAAGCTGGCCCCGAAGCCAGGGTGACCCCGGGATCCCAGTCCCAAGCACGCGAGGGCCCTGGCGGGCAGAGCTGCAGCCGAGACGCTGCAACCGGAGCCAGAGTCGGGATGCTCGGGGTCCCGGGCCCCGCCGCGGCCGTAGGGGAGTTAGGACGGGAGGGATGCGGGGACGGCCAGCAGCTGAGCCCGCGCTGGAAAGGTGCCCCCGGGGTCTCACCGGTGTCTCTGAAGCAATGGCTTCCCCTCGAACTTGGTAGACACCACCAGGACTCGGAAGCTGGTGGCGCAACGGTTCAGAGTCGTGTCCTCCACCTCCTACCGGGCAGAAGAACGTGGCTGGTGCCGAACCCGCCCCACTCCCCCGCCCCGATGCCTCTTCCCCGCCACCGGGTGGACTCAGGTGTCTCGACTCACCACGTGCTCCGCCTCCAGGTCGCGCTGTAGCTTCTCTCGGAGGTAGTGGGAGCTCAGCTCCATTGCCGCAGCCCAGAGCGGGCGACAGCCCAGCGGGGACGGAACCCCACCTCCTAGCAGCCACCAGGCCTTCCGCCTTTACTGCAGCCACTTCCGCTGAGGCATCTACTTCCGCCCTTACGAAGCCTCCTTGAAGGCGGGACTTCCGCCCTTCCTAAGGCGTCCGTGAAGGCGGGACTTCCACCTTCCAGCGATTCCGGCTTTCCAACAGTCAAGGATTTCCGCGCTTACCATCAACCAGCCAATAGAAATCTGCGTTAAGAACGGCCTCTGCCGAGGCTGGCGCTAATTGGTTGGCGCTCGGACTGAGCGCCGGTTGGGACCTCTACTCCAGCCAGGAGGGGGTGCGCGAACCTGCCTTGAGGTGGCCTCCCGGGTGCCCCGCGATCGCCCCCAAGCGCCTTCTCCGAAACGAGCATCTTGCCGTCCCGCCACGTGGCCCTTCCTGGGCTCATCATGAGCGCCGTGGGGGACGCGGCGAAGCCGGGGCGCTTCCTCGGCGTCTACCTGCTCTATTGCTTGAACCCTCGGCATCGGGGCCGCGTGTACGTGGGCTTCACTGTCAACCCTGCGCGTCGGGTCCAGCAGCATAACGCGGGCCGCAGAAAAGGCGGGGCCTGGCGCACCAGCGGGCGAGGGCCCTGGTAAGGCGGCGGGGCCGGGAGGAAGGCTTCCCGGAGAAGGCGGGCCCGGCCGGGTGACAGACAGGGCAGGCGGGGGCGGGAGTCTGACGACCCGAGTCGGGGTCCGTAGACGCGGGGGATGGAGCAGGGGCGGGGCTTGACGCTGACAGGTGCAGGGGGCGGCGCCTGCTTGGGGAGTGCGCCGCCTAGTGGCTGGGCTTGGAGGCCGGCGTGAGGACCCGAGGCGAGTCCCCAGCGAGGGGCTTCGGCCGCGCACCGGGCGGAGGGCTCACGGGCCGTACCCTGGTTCCCCTCCGCAGGGAGATGGTGCTCATCGTGCACGGCTTCCCGTCTTCGGTGGCTGCGCTCCGGGTAAGAAACAGGGCGGGAGGCAGGGGGCGGGCAAGGTGCGGGGGTCGCCCCGCACCCCGGGGCCCCCCTGACCCGCCGCTGCTCCCCGCCCGCAGTTCGAGTGGGCCTGGCAGCACCCGCACGCCTCGCGCCGCCTGGCGCACGTGGGCCCCCGCCTGCGCGGCGAGGCCGCCTTCGCCTTCCACCTGCGCGTGCTGGCGCACATGCTGCGGGCGCCGCCCTGGGCGCGCCTCCCGCTCACGCTGCGCTGGCTGCGCCCCGACTTCCAGCGTGACCTGTGCCCACCGCCGCCGCCGCACGTGCCGCTGGCCTTCGGGCCGCCGCCGCCCCGCGCCGGGGCCCCGAGGCGCCGCGCCGACATGGAGCCTGGCACCTGCACCCTGTGCTGCGGAGCGCTGCAGGTGAGGTGAGGCCGTCCGGGGTGGAGCGCGAGGACTTTGCCCACCCCACCCCCAGCAGGCAACCTGGTGCCAGCGGTGAGACGGGGACACAGCAGCACCTGCGCAGGCCCGGTCCCCAGCCCACAGGTGTGACTGCGAGCCTGACTTCTATTCCCCCTTTCTTGTGCCCGGCCCCTACCCCCTCCTGGTACTTACTGTTTGAGACATTTTCATCATCTTAATTAATCGCCTGTACTGACCCCCAAGAGGGCACAGATCCATCCCCTGGTTCACTCACCAATGCCTGCAACAGCTGGGGCTGCACCAAATCGGAGCCGGGAGCCAGGAACTCCCTCTGGGTCTCCCAAGTGTGTGGCAAGGGACCAAAGCGCCCGACCTATCACCTGCTGCCCGCGAGGGTGCGCATGAGCAGGAAGCTGGAATCGGAAGTGGAGCTGGGACTGTAACCCGGCACTCGGACACGGGATGGAGCCCTCGCCAGCAGCGACTTAACTGCCGGCCCCAATCGCGTTCTTGTCCACTTCTGTAGAGCCGGAGTCAGCACAGAACAGATGGCCCATGAATATTTAATAAGGTAACAGATGGGGGCCTGGCTTCTGCTGGGTTCTCAGTGTAAGCTGGGCCTCTGCCACGCAGAGTAAGGAATCCAGGTGGGCTGTCCAACTGTCACTACCACTGCCGCGTGCGCAAGCCTGGCCAGTGTGGTCCCCGTGGGCAAGTATGTCAGCCTTGAGTAGAATGGAGGGAGTTAGTAGACCCCCCCTGGGGGTGGGGTGGGGTGGGGCAGCCGCCTGCCCTCTGCTCCCGCACACCCCTGCCTCACTCTCCCCAGGCTGCACCGAGCTCACCTCCTCCAGGGAGAGCCTCCCTGCCTGACTTTGGACCTCAATCCAAGAGTAAAGGCAAAGGCTGAGTGGGGGAGGGGCGCACTTTGCCTCCACGGGGTTCTGTCATTGCAGACAGGCATACAGAATAAAACTGATGAGGTTTGTGAGCTGGAAGACCACGCCTGTGTGAGCTCATGCCCCCACCTGCCAATCAGGCTAACTGACCACTCCCCTTTGGAAGTGGCTTAAAGGCTGGGGACGACTCAGTGGGCCCCTGCTGCCCCCCGCCTTCTGGGCCTGCAGCCTCGGGCCACCCACCCCCCGCCCCACGGTGCCCAGCCTGTGTGCTCCTCCACGTGGCCGGCTTCTGGTGCTCGGTCTGAATCCCCTCTTAGGGCCCTCACTCTCCTATGCATTTCTCCCACTAAATAGAAAGCTTAAAACTTAACATGCTGCCTGGTTTATTTGTGCTAGTATTCAGAATTCTCCCCTGAATACGAGGCAAGAGCCCACAGGGCTTCTTAACATTTCGGATTATTGATCAGCAAACCAGTAACAGTGAGTTTCTCAGGACCGTGCCTCAGTCTCCCTGTCTGTAAAACACAGTGTAGTGTGTGCCTCTCAGGACTGTGTCTGACGTCAGAAAACGGCGTCCGGTTCACAAGAACGCCCAGGATTAGCCACATTGTCACTCCTGCCTTCCCTGCTTGCCCCTCCCGCAGGAAGACCAGGGCCCCCTGCGCTGCCCGCACCCCAGCTGCCGCCTGCGGGCGCACGTGATCTGCCTGGCGGAAGAGTTCCTTCGGGAAGAGCCGGGACAGCTTCTGCCGCTGGAGGGGCAGTGCCCCAGGTGAGCCCGTCCCTCCCCGCAGGCCAGGCCTCAGCTTGGCTCCCGCCTTTGCCGGCCGGGAACTTTTCCAGGAAACTGTGGAGGTGGCAGGCTCCCGTGGCACCCTGGCCATGTGGTTGATCTTGTAAGACGAGACCGGCATGTCCTTCACGTTGCGAGAAAAGGAAAACAACTGCTCGGAGAGGCAGGATGTGACTCGCGAGTTGCCCCCCCCCACCTTGCTGATGCCCTGCGTGCTCCTGGGCTGCCTTTGACTTACTCTGTATCCGCAGGAACACTGGACAGACTTGCTGGAGACCTGATCCTCCGCAGCTGCGGCCCTCCCCTCCCCCTCCCGCGCATCCCACGCAGGTCTGGGCGGTTTTTATTCGAGTGCCATAAACAGCCTGAGTTAAGGGCCATTCCAGTGTGTGCGGGGTGGGCGGGGCACGAGCCGTGCGCAGCCTGTCTGCTGCAAGCTCAAAGTTCTCCGGAGATTTGGGCAGCTTGCTGACTCAGCCTGCCCTGCCTGGGTCTCCCACGTGGCCGCAGGGGCCCCAGTACTTGGGCCATCTGCCCCTGTTTTCCCAGGGCTTTAGCTGGGAGCAGAGCAGCAGGGGCTTGAACTGGGGCTCATATGGCTCATGGGATGCCTGCCATGCCCCTACGCAGGACCCGACCCTTGGACTTAAAGGGCAAAGGCGTCGTCTTCCTCCGTGGGGTCCTGTGGCTCTCCCAGCCCCCTTTAGCCCTGAAGCAAAGCAGCTCTGCAGGATGCCCCACGAGGCCCTGCGGGAGCCATGACGCCGGGCTCCTTGTTCTTGAGCTGCCTCAAAAAAGGCCTTTCTCCCGGGGGCAGCGCTGTGGCGCAGTGGGTAAAGCCACCACCTACAGGCGCCGGTTTGAGTCCCAGCTGCTCCACTTCCAGTCCAGCTCTCTGCTGTGGCCTGAGAAAGCGGTGGAAGATGGCCTAAGTCTTTGGGCCCCTGCACCTGCGTGGGAGACCCGGAAGAACCTCCTGGCTCCTGATCGGTGCAGCTCTGGCCATTGTGGTCATCTGAGAGTGAACCAGTGGATGGAAGACTTCTCTGTCTCTGCAACTCTGCCTTTCAAATAAATAAATCTCGTTTTAAAAGATTTTCCTTCCTTGCTGTACCCCACCCCCCTGCCCACCCACACGCCTCTGGCCTTGCCTCAAGATCACAGCCACGCCAGGGCTGCCTGGGGCCTGAAGCCTTGGAGTCTTGGAGGCTGGCCCGGAGCCAGCAGGAGGGCGAGTGCCTGGCCATGACTACCTCCCCCACCCCCCACTCCACCCCTGACCAGTGCTGGTTTTACTTTTCGAGCTGTAACCCGGCCTGCTCTGCGGGATGGAGTCTGCAGGGGCGGGGAGGAAGCCAGATTGCAGCTCAAATAAAACCACCCCTCATGGGGCACCTTCGCCTATTTTTTTTAAATCTTCGTATTACTTGTAAGACAGACCGACAGAGAGGTCTGTCGGTTCACTCCCCAGTGCCTGGTCCAAGCAGGGTGCTGGGGGCTCCATCTGGGTCTCCCATGGCGGTGGCAGGGCCCCAACTCCGGGAGCCGTCGCTGCCGCCTCCCAGGGTGCACGTCAGCAGGAAGCCAGAGTCAGAAGTGGAGCCAGGACTTGAACCCTGGGCACTCCAGTGTGGCACGCGGGCGTCTTAACCCCTGCCGCCTCGTTTTTCCACTGTGGAATCCACACCTGGGCTTGAGGACGGGTCGCAGCACACTCCAGCTTAGGTGCTGGAGAGGGAAGAGGCCCAGCCCCACCTCCAGAGCCCGCCCTTCTGGGTGGACAGCTCGGTCCCTCCCACTTCGTTCCTACAAAGCCCTCAGCTGGGAGAGCAGCTGGGCGCTCCTGCCCCGCTAAGCCAGAGCCACAGAGGTGGTGCCTCGGCCAGGACCCACCGAGCAGGTCAGTGCTGGGGGGGGTGGGGGTGGGGGTGGGGGGAGGGCTGGGCCGGGTCGGCCGCCCTTGCCTTGCTCAGCCCCGGGCTGCAGCACACAGGATGTGGAGGACAGCGCCTGTCGGGCCGTCTGGCTCCTGGTCGACTCTGCTGTACCTCTAACGTCCCTGTTCCAAGTCCAAGAGGCCTGAATCCCCTCCCCTGCTGCTTCCTCACCACTTCTGTTCACACCGCCAGCCTCTGACCCCTAAAACGAACTCAGCTGCTCAACTGCTCATGTTTGTTCAGGAGCCAAGACAGCATTCCGCTGGCCAAGCCACATCGGCCCAAGGCCTGGGAAGCTTCTGCGTGAGGGGCCCAGGGTACCGTAAAAAAAAAAAAAAAAGGGAGGGGGGTGAGAGGAACCCTTGGGGGTGTGCTGGGAGCTGTTGCAGGAAGTGACAGATCTCCAGGGAGGGCAGTTGGGATCAGCACCTAGAACTCCAGGCCCTGCCCAAGAGAGGGCTTTAACTGGCACTGGGTGTGGCTGAGCACCGGGCTTCACACTGGACTTTGCAAAGCTCTGCAGTTAGGCCAGTGGTGCGGCCGGGGTCAGGAGCCCTGGCCTGGAGCAGACTTGGCTCGGGATCCCAGCCTTGTGAGCCTGGGCAAGTCCCTCCATTTCTGGGAGATGCAGTGTCCCTACCCCCCCCCCCCCCCTTTTCTTAAGTAATACTGCTACTTCAAACACTGCCGGAGGGGCAGGCACCGTGGCTCGGCAGCCACCACTTGGGATGCCGGCCTCCATGTCAGAGTGCCGGTTCCAGTCCCAGAGGCTTTGCTCTGTTCGATTCCGCTCCCGGCCAGTGGGCCTGGAAAGCCAGCGGCTGATGGCTCAAGTGCTTGGGCTCCTGCCCTCCACCTGGGAAACCTGGGAGGAGCTCCCAGCTTTGGCTTGGCCCAGCCCTGGCTGTCGCAGCCATTTGCTGGAAGATCTTTTTTTTTTTTTTTTTCCTGTCACTCTGCCTTTCAAATAAATAATCGTCTCACACCCACTGGAAGCAGCATCCTTACGTTCAAAGTGAAAGGTATGGCTGTGACTGACTGAGGGGAGTGAGCGGGCTCTGGCCTCCCACAGGGCAGCATGGAGCTCATCCAGGACACGTCCCGCCCACCGCTGGAGTACGTGAAGGGGGTCCCGCTCATCAAGTACTTTGCTGAGGCGATGGGGCCACTGCAAAGCTTCAAGGCCCGGCCCGATGACCTGCTCATCAGCACCTACCCCAAGTCCGGTAGGTGGGGAGGCCCACCCGCCCGCTCCTGGCCAGCACCGGCAGGCCCTTAGCCCTGCTCGCCTCTTTCCTGCCCCCTGCAGGCACTACCTGGGTGAGCGAGATACTGGATATGATCTACCAGGCCGGTGACCAACAGAAGTGTCTCCGGGCCCCCATCTACATCCGGGTGCCCTTCCTTGAGTTCAAGGCCCCAGGAGCCCCCTCAGGTGTGCAGGGGGGCATGTGGAGGGGAGAGGCCGGACTGGGGCTACAGGGTGTGACACATTCCTCTGTCCGTGGGCTAGGTATGGAGACCCTGAAAGATACACCGTCCCCGCGGCTCCTCAAGACGCACCTGCCACTGGCTCTGCTCCCTCAGACTCTCCTGGACCAGAAGGTCAAGGTGAGGCCCCGGGCTAGCCCAGCCTCGGTCCTGTTCTGGAAGGAAGGGCTCCTGTGGGGTCAGAGGGGCAGTGAAGGGCACCCCTGCCTGCAAGTGGGAGAGAGCGGAGGCCGGTGCTCATGGGGACCCAGCAGCCGGATCCGAATCTGGCTGTGAGGAGGCCACTGATGGGGACTGAATTTGGTGCAAAACATGGACTGGGGGCAGCCAGGACCGCGGCATCAGAGCAGGGCGGCACCCCCCACCACCACCACCTCGCCAGCACCCCGGTTGTCTGCTTCCTCCTCTCCAAGCCGAGACCACTTCCCTCTCCAGGACGCCAGGCGGGTGGGGAGCCCAGGAGCACGCAGGGCATGCGCAGGGCGTGGGGTGGCAGCTCTGGAGGTACAGGCCGCCTCTCCCTGCAGGTGGTCTACGTTGCCCGCAACGCGAAGGATGTGGCCGTCTCCTATTACAATTTCTACCACATGGCCAGGGTGCACCCTGAGCCTGGCACCTGGGACAGCTTCCTGGAGAAGTTCATGGCCGGGAAAGGTGGGCCTGAGTCTGGACAGGGAGGGCGGCGCAGAGGGGACACCGGAACTCCAGCCAACTCTGGGCCTCTGCTTCCGCCGCCCCCCAGTGTCCTACGGCTCCTGGTACCAGCACGTGCGGGAGTGGTGGGAGCTGAGCCGCACCCACCCCGTCCTCTACCTCTTCTTTGAGGACATGAAGGAGGTGAGACCACTTGCCATGGCTTCCCTCCACGTCACCCTCGGGGAGGCTCCCAACCCCGCCCTCCTGGCCCAGGACACTGGCTGCAGGTGCCTCCAGGTGCCTGGTTGGCCCCATGCCCTCTGCTGCCACTGCCCAGGGTGTGCCAGGCCCTGGGGCCACAGCTGTGAAAGCGGCTGTCACCACCCTCGCCTGCGAGGGGCCCACAGGGCGGGGAGCTGTGAGTCGGGGAGCACAATCCGAAGCTCCTGAGCCAAGCGGCCAGATCCCCTGGGAGCTGGGGCCCCCACTGCAGAGTCCACCCCCACTGCTCTAGAACCCCAAGAGGGAGATCAAGAAGATCCTGGAGTTCCTGGGGCGCTCCCTGCCGGAGGAGACGGTGGACCGCATCGCCCACTGCACGTCTTTCAAGGAGATGAAGAAGAACCCCATGACCAACTACAGCACCATCCCCGAAAACATCATGGACCACAACGTCTCCCCCTTCATGCGCAGAGGTGGGGGCCCCGCGGGCCGGGCGTCTGGGAGGGAGCAGCCGCCCGGCCCGCCCGGAGCCGCTGGCCTCAGCCCTGCTTCCTCCCGCACCAGGCGTGGCAGGGGACTGGAAGACCACCTTCACCGTGGCCCAGCATGAGTACTTTGAGGCCGACTACGCCGAGAAGATGGCGGGCTGCGAGCTCACCTTCCGTTCAGAGCTGTGAGGGGGGCGGGGGCGCGCGGGGAGCCTTGTGAGACAGGCCCAAGGTGAGGCCTCGCGAATAAACCATGCCCTGGCGCACTCAGAGCGTGAGCCCCTGGGAGCCAGCGGGCTGGTGGCTCCCTGCTGGGGAAGCAGAGGGGCTGGGGCCGGAGGAGTCAGGTCCAGGACATGGCAGCGAGCTGAGGGGATTTATTTGGTCACAGAAAATCCTTGGCTGCCTTCCCCAGGGAGGCCGGCCGCGCAGGGCGGGTCTGCCGCCGCGTCACTTTTTCTTGGGCTCCTTACAGGCCACCACGTACCTCTGGGCCACGTTGAGGGGCGGGGAGTAGCCGTCCGCATACGAGGTGTCTTCAAACAGGACCGAGTAGTCGTCCTGCGGCTGGGCAGATGAGAGGGGCTGGGCAGAGCCTCCCCAAGGCCCCCGAGGCCGGCCCAGCAAGAACTCCCGGGGGTGAGCTCCTAGCCCGGGTGCCCAGAGCTCTCTCCTCAGCACAGGGGCCGAGGGCACGGAGGAGGGAGGCTCACTCCCCACGTGGCTGAGCCACAAGAGAGGGGCTGGTGCCTCCTGGGGACCCTACTAGAGGGGTCAGGGTCAACCCAGAGGACAGGCAGGGATCTTGGACATGGGGAGAAGCCCTGAGGCTCGAGGGGAGGCAGGAGAGCCAGGCCCACCTGGGGCTCACTAAGGCTGCTGAGGCTGGGCGAGGCTGGACTGGGCGGGGCTGGACTGGGCGGGGCTGGACTGGGCCCAGGAAGCAGACGGGGAGCAGCGCGCAGGACCCTCGGAGCTCCAAGGCCACGAGGAGTGGAACAAGGGGAAGAGAGTGGGGTCCTGCTGTCATGACAGCCTCTCCTGTGGGGGTCACCTTACCCGTTGTGGGGGCGTGTGGATCAGGGCACGGTAGAAGCAGGTGGTCTGGGGATACAGGGCCAGCACGAGCTGCTCCTTCTGGAACAAGGCCTCGGGGTCCGTCTCGGGGTTGGCCTTCCACTGTGGCAGTGGGATGATTCTCCGCCGGCTCAGGGTGTGCCTCCTGGGGGTGGGGGGGCATGCGTGCGTCAGCCCCTGGCCAGAAGGGGAAAGGCCTCCCCATGCGGCCTCCACTGCCCTCCCTGGCCCGACACTCACTCCTTGCCTTCTTCATCAATGTCGTCCACCTCGTACCTGCAGGTGAACAGAAGGAAGTGGCTGGAGGCAGTGAGGCGGCGGGAGGGGGGCGACTGGGGGAGGGGGAGATGAGGGGAGGGGAATGATGGGGGGGTGCAGCCCACGCCACCCACTGTGGGAAGCTGTGTGCCCGCTGCACAGGCTGAGCTTTGTAAGGAGCCCCGCCCCCAGGCTGGCGTCCACTCACTTGTTAGTGGCGTGGCTGTAACTGACCACCTCGGCCAGGATCCACTGCTCATCCCCGTCCACGGCTTTGACCCGGGCAGCTACCTTGTCTCCAGGCTTGGCCACATAGTCCCCGGAGGCTGGAATGGCCCCACAGAGGGGCGGGGGCCTGTGTGTGGAGTGAAGCGTCAGTCCCGCCCCTCGCCACCAGCCCCTGCCCGGCCGGCTGCTGCCCTCACTTGTCACCAGGCTTCCCGATCCACAGCGGCAGGGTCATGGCCGACTGCTGCAGCAGGGTCATCAGCACGCCCCTGCGCATGGTCTTCCGAGGCGGCTCCGAGTCATTGTAGAGGCCCGCGATCTTGGCCGCTGCAGGGGGAGGGAGAGAGCTCCCCTGAGCGCGAGCCCTGCCCCTCCCATGGGTCGTCCACAGCTCAGCTAACGGCTGCCAGGGCATCAGGGCAGGGGCAGCCTCGGGGGGCCACTGTGGGAGGGGCAGCAGGTGCAGGTCACGGGGCTGACGTGGGTGCCGGTTATGTAAGTGTTCGCTGGTGTGAATGTTTCACCTTGTTGCCAGCCCACGTGTAACTTTCCCATCAATAGATGTTGCAATCCAAGCAAAAGTTAAAAAATAGTGTGGGATGTAGACCAGTGGCCTCAACACACCCCTAACCCCAAACACAGCCCACAGGAGGCATGACGACATTCTGAGTGGGGGTTCTGCAGGGCGAGAGCAGGGCGAGCCAAGGGGCGCTGGGGCCCAGGCCATGTGAGCTCCCGCCGCGGGGCTGGGGTCAGACACTCGGGCGGGTGGAGCCCTCGCACAGCCTGCCAGGCTCTCTGCGGGCCAGGAACAGAAGTGCGGAGGGACACGATGGGCTGGAGAGGGAAGGGAAGGGGAGAAACGCCAGGGGCATGAGGGATCGCCTTGGTCTGAGGAGGCAGCACCAGGGAAACCCTGCCTTGACCTCTGCTCCCTGCCCAGCCCCAGTCCCTGCGGGAAGCTCTTGGCAGAGACTCTGAGAGGCTGTGGTCACAGGCAGCCCCAGAGGACATGACCTGGAGCCTCCCTGCCGCCCCTCCCACTCACCAATCCCCCCTGCCACCCCTCCCACTCACCAATCCGCCTCTCTTCCAGCAGAGACTTGATCTCAGCGATCTTATCCAGGGCTTTCCGGAGGATGCTGGGGGCAGGGGAAGGAGGCGCGAGGTCTGGCTGAGGACGTGGTGGACTCCCCTTCCTAGTGGCAGCAGGCTGGGCAGCTCACACCGGCCCTGCTGCTGACGGCACACGCCCCCATCACCACGACCAAGCCTGAGCCAGCCAGGAACACGCGCAGTGGTGCTGGAACACACTGCAGCACACCACCCGTGTGTGTGTGTGTGTGTGTGTGTGTGTGTGAGAGAGAGAGACACTGGGGTACACACACCTACGGTGCTGCCAGCACAGAAGCAGGAGTTGCGGCTGAGTGGGTTAAGCCACCGCGAGGGCGCCTGCACCCTGGCTCCTCAGCTTCTGATCCAGCTCCCTGCTAATGCACTGGGAGGCTGCAGGTGATGGCCCAAGTACTTGGTACCCTGACACCCACAAGGGAGAGCTGGATGGAATTCCTGGCTCCTGGTTTTGGCCTGGCCCAGGCCTGGCTGTTGCAGTCCTTTGGGGAGCAAACCAACAGATGGAAGCTCACTCGCTCTCTGCCTCTCAAATCTTTTAAAAAATTGGCTTTTAGTGGCTGCTCTAATTCTACTCCAGCTCTCTGCTAATGCGCCTGAGAAAGCAGTGGAAGATGGTCCAAGTCCCTGGGCCCCTGCACCCATGTGAGAGACCTGGAAGAAGCTCCTGGCTTCTGGCTTCTGCCTGGCCCAGCCCAGGTCATTGTAGCCCTTTGGGGAGTCAACCAGCAGATGGAAGATCTCTGTCTCTCCTCTCTCTGTAACTCTTCCTTTAAATAAATAAACTTAAAAAAAAAAAAAGGCTTTTAGGGGCCAGTGTTGTGGGTAAAGCTGCAGCCTGCAATGCTGGCATCCCATAGGGTGCTGGTTCAAGTCCCTGCTGATGTACCTGGGAAAGCAGTGGATAGCTCAAGTGCTTGGGCCCCTGTACCCAAGTGGGAGATCTGGAAGAAGCTCCTGCCTTCGGCCTGGCCCAGCCCTGGCTGTTAAAGCCACCTGGGAAGTAAACCAGTGGATGGAGATCTCTTTCTCTGAAACTGCCTTTCAAATTTAAAAAAACAAACAAGCAAGCAAAAAAAAAAAAAAGGCTTTTGCTATTTGCTACAAGGAATATCAGTGAACAATGAAAACTGAGTAAAATATGGGGGCTGGTGCTGTGGCGCAGTGGGTTAACACCCTGGCCTGAAGTGCTGGCATCCCATATGGGCGCCGGTTTTAGTCCCGGCTGCACCTCTTGCTATCCAGTTCTCTGCTGTGGCCTGGGAAAGCAGTGGAAGATGGCCCAAGTCCTTGGGCCCCTGCACCCACATGGGAGACCCGGAAGAAGCTCCTGGCTCCTGATCAACGCAGCTCTGGCCGTTGCAGCCTTCTGGGGAGTGAACCAGTGGATGGAGGACCTCGCTCTCTGGCTCTCCTTCTCTATGTAACTCCGACTTTCAAATAAATAAATAAAAATCTTAAAAAAACTGAGTAAAATATGTAGTTAACCCGGCCACAACTGTGCACCCACCTGCCAATCAGACTAACTGACCACTCCCCTTTGGAAGTGGATTAAAGGCTTGGGACATGGTGGGCCCTTTCCCCCTTTTTCATCGTTGTGGACCTGTGCTGCCCCCGCGCCTCGGGGCCCCCGCCCCATGCTTTCTGGGCTGCGTGCTCCTCCACGCTGGCTCCTGGTGCTTGGTCTGAATCCAGAGTACCCTCTCGCTTTTAGATAGAGCCCTGCTCTCCTATGCATTTCTCTCACTAAATATTAAAAACCTTAAAACTTAAAAAAAAAAAGAAAGATGAAAGATATGTAGTTAATAGTTTCATGTTAGTGTTAATGTCCTGGTTTTTTAAAAAAATACTATTTGATAGGCAGAGTGATAGGGATACCTTCCATCTGCTGGTTCACTCCCCAAATTTCTGCACCACCAGGAGCCTGCAACTCCATCTGGGGCTCCCATGTAGGTGGCAGAGGCCCGGACACTCGGGCAGTCATCCACTGCTTTCCCAGACACGTGAGTGGGGCGCTGGCAGCCAGGACTCCGTCTGGCGCTCTGACCGGGGATACCAGCATCACAAATGACTGCTCAGCTCACTGTGCCAGTGATGTTGACAACCGAACTCTGGCTACACAAGGATGCCTTTATTTTTAGGAAACACTGACTGAAGAACCCGAGATCAAGGGACATCATGTAACTCATTCAAAAAAATAATGCACGTTTGTAGAGTGCATGAAAAAGCGAATGGGGCATGTGTTGGGTGCGGCAGTTAAGCCACCACCTGGGACACCTCACCCTGGGTGGGACGACCTGGAGCCTGGGCTCCACTTTCAATTCCAGCTTCCTGTTACCGCAAACCCTGGGTTCGGCAGTGAGGGCTCAGGTAGTTGGGTCCCTGCCACCCATGTGGGAGACCTGGGTTAAGTTGCCAGCTCCTGGCTTTGGCTTGGCCCACCCCTGGCTGTTGCAGACGTTTCTGGCAAGTGAACGAGTGGATGGAAATTGCTCCCTGTCGCTGTCCTTCTCTCTCTGCCTTTCAAGTCAAAGCAGGTTATAAAAATTTAAAAGTCAATGTGGTAGAACACTGCTTTTATGAGTCTGAAATCATTTCAAAATAAAGAAGTTACATCAATAACAGTCTCCATTAAACCACAAAGGCACCTGTACGTCTGTGTTTCACTGCCAAGCAAGGTCCTGAAACAGAGTTAAATGAAACTGTTTCTGCAGAACTTATCAGAGCCTGTCACCGGCCTTGTGGGCCTCCAGCAGTGCCACGTCCCACTCCCTGGAACGCTGCAGCTCCACTGCGCGCAACCGTCTTCCTCTCACAACCACTAAGGTGCTGGGCAATCTAGAATGACCTCCCGCTCTGACCCTCAGGGGAGGTTCCCCCCACCCCCCAGGAGGCCCACTGCACCTGCCCGGGCCATTGAGGGTGGACTTCCAGGACCAGCCCTGGTGTGTAGCATGGCCCAAGCTCCAACCATCCCCTCCCCTGATCACTACTAAGGGACTAACTCTGGTGTGGGCTCTTTAAAACGATCCCAAACTATACAAACTCGTAGCCTCACTATTTGATTAGGATGACCTTTTAGAAAGTACAAAATTAAAAAAAATCCCTCTGGGACTTTCTGGGTTGCTGTGAGGGCTGGAGCTGCGCTTGCTGAGCCACCAGGGTGCTGCCCAGGGCCTGGGCCCCACCTCTCTCCCGCGCCATCTGGAACGGGAGGAGCAGGCAGCAGCGCTGTGGGCTCCCAGGGGCTCGGGAAAGCACCAGCAGCCCAGCAAGGCCGGGTGGGAGCGAACACTGCTGGGACAATGGGGCGTCTCCCTCTTCCTCAAGAGCGCTGGCGTCAGGCCACACCTGCCTGGCCCACATGACGCTCACGACCCTGGAGGTAGCCGTGCGGCCTCTGCTCGTGGTGGGCACTGAGTTTGGGCTGAGGAGATGGCCCCGGAGCAGCTCAGCGCCCATCTGGGAAGCAGGACTCCGGGGGCGAGGGGGGCTTAGGAGGCACTGTGGGGAAGGCGGGAGTCCCGCGAGGCCAGCAGGCTGTACTCACTTGCACTCGGCCTCCGCGTCGGCCTTGGCGGTCGTGTAAAGGCCCCGCAGCTTGGTCCGGTAGTAGGGAGAAACTGTGGACACAGTGACGGGGTGGAGGCGTGCGCAAGCGGCTGGCACTGCTGCAGGGCCACCAGGCTCAGACCTGGGACATCCAGAGAGGCCGGGCCCCACGCCCCCGCACCACGCGCCCAGCAGTGGCCACGTTCAAGACCACGTTTCCATAGGGCCAGAAGCCATCACCACATCCAGGGGAGCACTTCTAGCTCCCACGTCTCGTGACACACAGCAGAAAATACACGCAGGAGGCAGCGTGCACAAAACCAGGCGACTCGTGGGGACCCCTCCCCAGGAGGCCCCCACCCCCAGAGGGCGCCGGCTTTCCCAGCGACAGCGACAGCGACAGCTTCCCTGGCTGCAGCCTCATCTCCCTGACCTCCCATCCCCGCAGTGGAGGGATCTGTCGGTTCTTTTGTGAACTGTCGCCACCCCCGGGTCACCCAGCCTAAGGGAACACCGTCCCTGCAGCCCGGGGCACAGCTCGCTGTGGACCCCGCAGACAGAGGCAGAAGCCCCCTCCAGGGCCGCCGCAGCCATGTTCTCGGTGCACGCCCAGGACTCACTCTTGTTCTCCGTCTGCATCCGCTCGTGGGTCTTCTGGATGTTCACTAAGTTGTGTTCACTCCTCGAGCGCTCTTCCTGTGAGGACGGGGCAGCAGGACGTGGGCGGGCTTCACCGTGTTCGGGACTGCACCCCAGCCCCGCTCCATGAATATGGCCCAAGCTTGAGGTGATCCTCCCCCCACCCCCAAAACGAATGCAAAAGCAAAGGCATTAAAGTGAAATCCTAACTTCTGTCTTTACTGATGCGGATCTGCCGACATATTCAATGCACCCCTCACCCAAAGTCCAGGAACTTCTCTGCAAAACTGACAATCATTCCACGGCGCACGTGGGTCTCCAAAGGGCCTACTTCGCCCCAGATATTTCTAAAGATGATGTTTGCTTTTCTCTTTCTTTTTTTAAGACTTATTTATTTGAAAGCAGAGTTAGAGGGGGGGTAAAGACAGAGAGACAGAGAGAGGGAGAGGGAGAGGGAGAGAGATCTTCCATCTGCTGGTTCACTCCCCAAATGGCAGGGCCAAATCCCCAAAGGGCTGGGCCAAGCTGAGGCCAGGATCCACATCCACATCTGGGTCTCCCACTGGGTGGCAGGGCCCAAGCACCTGGGTCACGCTCCACTGCCTTCTCGGGCACATCAGTAGGGAGCTGGATGGGAAGTGGAGCAGCCGGGACTCGATCGGACACCCATATGGGATGCCGGCACTGCAGCTGGTGGCTTTACTGGCTACGCTACAGTGCTGGCCCTCTCAGTGCTTCTATTTTTAAAAAATTCATTTTAGGGGCTGGCGTTGTAGCACAGTGGGTTAAAGCCCCAGCCTGCAGAGCCGGCGTCCCATATGGATGTTTGTTCAATTCCTGGCTACTCCTCTTCCAAACCAGCTCGCTGCTATGGCCTAGGAAAGCAGTGGAAGATGGTCCAAGCCCTTGGGCCCCTGCACCTGCATAGGAGACCTGGAAGAAGCTCCTGGCTCCTGGCTTCGGATCAGCTCAGCTCTGGACATTGTGATCATTTGAGGAGTGAACGAGCAGAATGGAAGACCTCTCTCTCTCTGTAACTGTTTTTTCAAATAATTTTAAAAAATTCTTTTAAAAAATTCATTTTATTTGAGAGGCAGAAGAGAGACAGAGAGATCTTCCATCTGCCAAGTCCGACCCCAAATGCCTCAAACAGCCAGGGTTGGGCCAGGCTGAAGCTAGGAGTCAGGAACTCAACCTGGATCTTTCATATGTATGACAGAGACCCAACCACGTGAGCCATCGCTGCTGCCTCCGCGGGTGCACATTAGCAGGAAGCTGGACTTGGAAGCAGAGCCAGGACTTGAACCCAGGCACTGATAAGGGACATGAGTGTCCCAAGTGGCGTCTCCCACCCCTGAAATTATCTTGAAAAAGAAAAGCAAAACTGAAGACCTCACACTTCCCAGTTCCACAGCTCGCTACAGCATTACAGTGTGAAGAGGGTGTGGTGCTGGCATCCAGAGCCCCAGAGCAGGATGGAGACTCCAGACGTAAACACAGCTGGGGAAAAGGGCTCTCCGCCGCCGCAGGTCCTGGGGCGTGGGCTGCACCGTGGACCTATGCCCTAGGCAAGAACTGGCGGCTACACCTTCCAACCTCTGTTACGTGCCCTTACCCCACCTGACAGAGTGGGGATCAGTGTGCACACAGCTGTGTGGCCTCGTGGCTGACAGAGCCCATGAGCCTCACCTATGCAGCCCCTCCCTACATGAATGGAACCAGACTAAGAAGGCCCCCAGCAATCTGGACCACACAGGGGCCGAACCTACCATCCCTTCCGAGGGAGGAAAGTTCTGGGTAAAGATCAGTGACAGGCTGGCGCTGCAGCTCACTGGGCTTATCCTCTGCCTGCAGCGCCGGCACCCCAGGTTCTAGTCCCAGTCGGGGTGCCGCATTCTGTCCCGGTTGCTCCTCTTCCAGTCCAGCTCTCTGCTGTGGCCCGGGAGGGCAGTGGAGGATGACCCAAGTGCTTGGGCCCTGCACCCACATGGGAGGTTAGCTGCCACTCTGCATCTGCACCCCATTCCAGAGCGCCACCTCCACTTGCCATCTAGCTTTCTTCTGGTCATATCCTGGGAGGCAGCAGTGATGGCCCAAGTACTTGGGTCCCTACTGCCCACGTGGGGGACCTGGATGGAGTTCCTGGCTCCTGGCTTCAGCCTGGCCCTGCCTGGGCTGCTGCAGGCATTTGAGGAGTGAACCAGAGGACAGAGGATTGTTCAGTCGCTCGGTCTGTTTCTGTCACTCTTTCAAATAAATAAACTTTTAAAAAAAGCCCTTAATGCCGGTTCTAGTCCTGGCAGACCCTCTTCCAGTCCAGCTCTCTGCTGTGGCCTGGGGAAGCAGTAGAAGATGGCCCAAGTGCTTGAGCCCCTGCACCCGCGTGGGAGACCCGGAAGAAGCACCTGGCTCCTGGCTTCAGCTGTTGTGGCCATTTGGGGAGTGAGCCAATGGAGGGAAGACTTTTCTCTCTGTCTCTCCCTCTCACTGTCTGTAACTCTACCTCTCAAATCAATAAATAAAATCTTAAAAAAAAAAAAAAAAGGCCCTTAAAACAAAAGAGCGAGCAGCTGAGGTAAAAGAATGAAAAGCAGCTTATGCCGCGAGGGAAACTCAGTATTGTACTAACATCCCGGCAGGAGGAAGTATCACCGCCGAGCTCAGTTTCACCAGATGCCTGGCAGGGGGAAGCCACACATCTGCCAAGACCAGTCCTGCCCTCAGAACCTCCCGGGGTCACGCAGGTGCGCACCTGGGCGGCCCCCTCCGAGAGACACTCGGGTCACGTGGGCTGACGCTAAGCAGGATTAGCCACTGCTGACTGCATGGAACCTGGTGACGTGCCAGGAACATTTTCCTCTTTTATTTTAAAATGAATGTTGCCAATAAGTGATTTTTTAGGGCAGTTTTAGGTTTACAGAGAGACTGAGCAGAGTGCAGGGTCCTTGCACACCAGATCGCCACCCAGCCCCATTCTCCCGTTGCTAAGGTGCACTTGCTCTCCAGCTACCCCCCAGTCTCCCATTGCTAACGAGCTGCAACAGTGAGGTGCACTTGCTGCCACCAAGCAAAGGGTGCCCACAGCTCACACCAGGGCTCACCCTGTGCTGGACGCCCTATGGGTTTCACAAATGTGTAAGGTTATACGTCCCCAGCACTGCGGGTCCACCTCCCTAAACTCCTCTGTGCCCACCTGACCCTCCCATCCCATCACCCCAAGACCCTGGTAGTCCCAGACCTCTTTACTCTCTGTCTCACCATTTCCAGAACGGCCCACACTTGGCATTGTGCGGTACATGGCTTTCAGATCGGGGGCTTTTCCTTAACAAGGTGTGTGCCAGTGCCTCTGTTTTTGGACTACATCTACCACAAAGGGCAACATCTGAGGAGTAGTTTCTGGAAGCTACTGCCTACCAGGCCACGGGGCTGTGGGGAGGACAACTGCCTGCCAGCAGGCTGGTCAGTGCATACGACGGACAAAACACCATAGTGGGGTGCTCTAGTATTTGTGTGTGAGAAGGTAGTAAAAATAGTGGAGAAATGGGTTTTGGGCAGTCGGCATTGCACGGTGGGTCCAGGTTCCCTGAGGAACCCCCCGGCCCCAAGAGGACTCGGGGTACACTTAGTCTCCATCACTCGATGGGGCTGCTGCTCTTCTGACCCCAGGAGGGGGTACCCCGCAGGGAGGTGGAGTACACAACAGCCACAGCACGCGTGGCAGAGCGAACAATGCTGGCCCCTAGGCAGAAAAGGCAAACCTTCCTGGTCTTGGTGCGTGTGGTGTGGGGTGAGATGAGCTCACGCCGAGCGAGGAGCCGCACGCAGGGGCAAAGCTGCGTGAGCTGGAGTCTCCTTCCAGGAGGAAGCAGGGAACAGCAGCCAGGCTAGAAAGATGACGGGCTTGGGGGCGGCAGGGCGGGCAGGCCCAAAAACACGGGGAAACTCCAGGCCCCTGCTTGTTGGGGAAGGACGTACACTGACGTGATGGGGCCTCTTGGCTACCCTCACGTGGATGGAGCCAACGGCTGCGTCTCCCCCCCGCAGAGCCCCAGGGCGCCTGTGGGAATCCTGCAGACCTCGAATCTAGGGATTCGGTCTCGAGGGGACCCGTGAAAGACCCAAACGGAACACATCTCGAAGCACAGGAGCAGGGCAAAGGATGAACTCTGAACACCACCAGTGTCTTCCCCGCGGGAGGGTGGCCGGCCCTGCTCTCCAACAATGTGCAGTGGAATCCAGTTTGGGTACAAGCCTGGGAACCGAGACAGGGCGAGTGGCCTTCTCCCCAGCTAACTCGGAGCCCAGAAGTAACTGGATCCCGGCCAATCCTAACAGTGCTGTCTGCAGACACACGGCCCCGGGCTGACTCTGTCGGGAAGGGACAAGGAACACCTTCGTGATTCGGACCAGCTGTCCTGTGGCAGGCCTGAGCACCATCCTGGCCGCGATGCAATGCCTGACGTAGGTGTGGCAGGATGATGCTCACGGAGATGAGCCGCAAACTGTGATCCCGAGGGAAAATGAGTGGCCAGAGGAAGAGGAGGACTGGGCTAAGCATTAGCTAATTTCCAGGCAAACTTATCTCAAGGCACAAATAGCAGCAAGACAAAAGTAGGGGAGTGCCTGTGACCGCTTTAGGGGGCAGGTCCCTCGTTTCTTTAGGTCTATCCCCACCCCACGAGGCTCCGCAAACGTTAGGCAAATTCACACTGGCACCGCTGCTGCACCTGTTACATAAAGGCTGTGCTACATACCGATGCTCTGATAAACACGATCCTTGTGTTGGCAGCCTACCTAGGTCAGAAGTCGGAGGGAGCCTGGGAGGCAAAGGATTACCTCAGCAGGCCAGGCTTGTCCAGACCGTGCACACTTAAGAAAATGGTCTGGCCCCAGACCAGCTCCTGGGAGAAAACCTCTAAACCCTTAGAATACCTTTCCTGGGAGGAGTGTCTTTGTTTACCCGAGTAAGGGGTTGACTGCTAACGCATATGGGACGCTTCTGTTGAGTGACAAAAACATTCTGGGGGCCGGCGCTGTGGCGCAGTGGGTAAAGCCACCGCCTGCAGTGCTGCCATTCCACATGGGTGCCGGTTCACATCCCGGCTGCTCCACTTCCGATCCAGTTCTCTGCTATGGCCTGGGAAAGCAGTAGAAGATGGCCCAAGTGCTTGGGTCCCTGCACCCACATGGGAGACCCAGAAGAAGCTCCTGATTCCTGGCTACAGGTTGGCACAGCTCCGGCTGCTGCAGCCAATTGGGGAGTGAACCAGCGGATGGAAAACCTCTCTCTCTCTCTGCCCCTCTCTCGGTGTGTAACTCTGACTTTCAAATAAATAAATCTTAAAAAAAAAACCCTGAAGTTGATTGTGGTGAGGCTGCACAGCTCTAGGAATATACTAAAATCACCTAACTGTACACTTTAAACGGGTCCATTTTGTGGTCTGTGAATCATCTCTCTACAGAGCTGTCAACGCAAATGAATGAAACCCTGTCCATAAGAGAAAGCCCCATCAGGAGTGGCAGTCGTGCCTGCCCCCTGCACCGCAGGACCCTGGCTCCTGCACCCAGGTCCCCCGCCCCGCCCCCACCCCGCCCCGCCCAGCTCAGCACCACAGCCGCGGGGCGCAGGGCGTGGCTCCCACCTGGGTCTGCTTGATCAGCTGGTGGAGCTCGGTGAGAAGTTCCGCGATGCGGGAGTCGGCAGACACGAGGGCCATGGCACCGGGGGCTCCTGGCGGGGAACAGAACAGAACCCTGTGGGTGGCGGCTGTGGGCCGGACTGCGTCCCCTCAAGAGACACCGTGAAGTCCCAACCCCGGTCCCCGTGAATGCCACCTAACTTGGAAACAGGGTCTCAGCAGAAGGAGTTAAGATGAGGTCACACCTGGGGCAGGGCGGGCCCTTAGTCCAGCCCAGAGGAGTCACAGAGAGACGCAGCGGGAAGACAAGCCACATGGCCACAGGCAGCTGGGGCGACCACGCAGATGCAAGCTAAGGACTCCTGGCACTCACACCACCAGCCGGGACAGAGGGCAAACCCTGGGCCGTGGAACCCAGCTGACACCTGGGCTTCGGAATGCTGGCCTCCAGGGCAGTCAGAGAACTCGTCTCTCCAGCTCCCAGCCACCCAAGAGAGGGGAATCTGTTGCAGCAGCCTTCAGAATCGAGCCCGGCTGGCGGTCCCAGCACCCAGGGCCACCCAGGGAAGGGCTTGTCCTCACTCTGCTCCCCAGGCCCAGGCGTATTTATTTACCAAGGGCCTCTGCGAGGCAGCACGGCCTAGCCCCAGCCCTGCAGCTCATCTCCTGAGAACTGATGCAAGCATCCGGTCTCCACTTCTGACCCTGTATAGTGGGATCACCCTGCTCTTTATTTGGGAGAGTCAGATGGGATTTTCTGGGAAGACACCTTCTAAGTCATAAAGCACTATGACCTTCTCACTGAGGGGAAGAGAAATTAACTTGGAGAAATGCCAGGAGCAGGCACCTGGCCTAGGGGTTGCGGCTGCTCAGGACGCCTGCATCCCACAACACGGTGTCTAGGTTTGGATGCCAGTTCCACTCCTGGCTCCAGCTTCCCACTAGTGCACCCTGAGAGGCAGCAGGTGATGGCTCAAGTGTCGCTGCCACCACGTGTGAGACTTGGACTGAGTCTCCAGGACTGGGCCAGGTCGAAGCCAGGAGCCAGGAGCTTCTTCCGGGTCTCCCACATGGGTACAGGGGCCCAAGCACTTGGGCCATCTTCCACTGCTTTTCTTATGCCATTAGCAGAGAGCCGGATCGGAAGTGGAGCATCCGGGACTCGAACCTGTGCCCACAAGGGATGCCGATGTTGCAGGCGGCGGCTTGACCTGCTACACCACAGTGCTGGCCCCTCTCTTGCTCTCTTTCTCTGTCCATCTTTGGCACCCCAACCACCACTGCCTCTTAATTTAAAAAAAAGGAAAGAAAAACAAAAAAACACAAAAAAAACACAAAAAAACAAAGTTGGAGGTCTCATACTTCCTGATTTCAAAATTTACTACAAAGGATGCAATGATATCAGGGCTGGCATTGTGGCACAGCCAGCAAAGCCACCACCTGTGACGCCAGCATCCCATATGAGCACCAGTTCTAGTCCCACCTGCTCCCTGGGCCCCCACCACTCACACGGGAGACCCAGATGAAGCTCCTGGCTAACTCTCTCTCTGTAACTCCGCCATTCAAATAAATAAGTCTTTAAAAACAGAAAGATGGAGTGATACTGGCATAAGGATCAAACAGAGCAAAGGAACAGAATCTGAGACCAGCAAAAAAATAAAAAATCCTTTACATCTTGATCCAACATGGGAAGCGAGATACTCAGCAGACTCATAGAATGGCAGATGTCCTAAACAGCACTCTGGCCTCAGAATCAGCCCTAAAGGCATTCCGATCTGGCTGAAAAGCCCATGAGAGTATTTCAGGCGTGGAAAGCCAAGACACTCTGGCAAAAAAAAAAAAAATGCCCTAAATGAAAGATCTCTGTGAGTGAGATCCCAGTGGAAAGAACAGGTCTTCAAAGAAGGAGGTACCTTTCTCTGAAGGGAGGAGAGAACCTCCACTT